GGAAGAGGGTTGGTTCTGAGAGTGAGAATTTTGAGTGTCCCAGTATTAACTTGGCCAAATTAGGATTCTTCATCTGAACAATTCTACTTTTAGCTTTCCAACTTTCCTTTCCAGATGAAGACAGTAATCTGTCCCCCTCCCCACTTCGGGACCTGTCTGGGAGCTTAGGGGGTCAGGAGGAGGAGGAGGAACAGAGGTGGCTGGATGCCCTGGAGAAGGGGGAGCTGGATGACAATGGAGATCTCAAGAAGGAGATTAATGAACGGCTGCTTACTGCTCGACAGGTAAGTCAGTTCATTGTTTATTCACTTGTCAAATATATATTGAGGACTTTCCATGTCCCAAGAACTTTGCTAGGCAGTAGGGATATCAGTGGTGGAGAAAAATCAGACAAGGTTTCTGTACTCATGGAGCTGGTATCTTGTGTGTGTGTTTGTGTGTGTGTTGGAGGGGTAAATAAGTAAATAATTTTTAAAAGCTGTGAGGTTTATAACAAAAATAGGGTGATGAAATAGAAAGTGGTAGAAAAGAGACAACATTAGATAGGGTAGTTAGGGAAGACCTCTCTGAAGAGATAACATTTCTAACCAGAGGAGCTTTTCAGGCAGAGAAACCAGCAGGTGCAAAGACCTTGACAGTGGAACATGCTTAGTAGTGGTCCTGGAGAAGAATAAGTATGACTAAGCCACGGAAGGGTTGTATGCAGAGAAGTGATATATTTGATTTATATTTCAATAGATTACTTTGGCTGCTTAGTGGGGATAAGGGATAGAAGCAAGAGCAGCTAGGAAGCTGTTGAAGTAGTCAGATGAGAGATGGTGGTGGCTTGAACCAAGGTGAAGTTGTGGAGATGGAGTAGATCAGATGGATTCTGGATATATTTTGGAAATAGACACTTGGTGTGGGGGGCGAGGGGGAGGGGAGGAGGAATCAAGGGTAACCTTGAGTTTTTGGCTTGAGCCGTTATCCAATTGATGCTATTTATTGAGATAAAAAGCAAACAACAAAAAAGCCTGCAGAGAGGTGGTACAGAGAGTTTTGGTACACAGGGCAGGCAGGTAACATTACTAATGCTTTTCCCCTTGAAAGTCAAGGATAGATCCTTTTCAGCTTTAGAAAGCTGAAAGTCTGGAGACCTGGGGGGAGGCAGTATTAAGGGCTCCTGGAGAGGGTGTTCGTTCCACCCCTTCTCTCAAGGCCTGTGCTCAAGACCCTCCTCTTCCCCTCTCGCGTTTGAGGGGATCTCGCCTCTCCATTTTCTGACACCACCCCGTATGTCTCTCCCCAGCGAGCTCTGCTCCAGAAGGCGCGGAGTCAGCCTTCCCCGATGCTGCCGCTGCCTGTGGGTGGTGGCTGCCCGGCTCCTGCCCTCACCGAGGAGATGCTGCTGAAGCGCGAGGAGCGGGCGCGGAAGAGGCGGCTGCAGGCGGCGCGGCGGGCAGAGGAGCACAAGAACCAGACTATCGAGCGCCTCACCAAGACTGCGGCGCCCAGCGGGCGGGGAGGCCGAGGGGCCGCGCGGGGCGAGCGGCGGGGAGGGCGGGCCGCGGCCCCGGCCCCCATGGTGCGCTACAGCAGCGGGGCACAGGGTTCCACCCTTTCCTTCCCACCTGGCGTCCCCACCCCCGCGCCAGTGTCTCAGAGGCCATCCCCATCTGGCCCTCCTCCTCGATGCTCTGTCCCCGGCTGCCCCCACCCGCGCCGCTACGCTTGCTCCCGCACGGGCCAGGCGCTCTGCAGCCTTCAGTGCTACCGCATCAACCTGCAGATACGGCTGGGGGGGCCCAAGGGCCCCGGATCCCCCCTTTTGGCTACTTAAAGCCCTTACTTAACCCGGACTCTGCGCCCTCTCCCTTGCCCCCTGTTTTCAGTGATTTCCCCACCTATTAAATTTCATCTGTTGCCTCGACTTGTACAGAATTGGGGGAATGGGGTATGGGCAGGCCAATTCCCCGTACACACATCTTGCCCCCACTGGAGCCTGCGTCTACGCTCGAGAAATGTCCACCAGGCCGCAGGAAGACAGTCGCTCTGCGACCAGACTCGGGTAGACTTTTGGGGTCCCGCCCCTTCCAGCTGGATTACCTGGCGTGGTCGGGCATTTGACGTCATCCCGAAAATAGGGCTCAAGCCAATCAGGGGGAAGTTTGCTCTTCTGGACGGCTGTTCATTGGTTGATAACGCAAAGCCTGTTCTGTTGTCCATATTGGCTGTTGTCGCTGTCAGTCAGGGCCATGGGTCGAACCTTACCCCACTCTTTGTCTGTGCGAGCTCTTGTTGTCTGGGAGAGTGGCGAAGGCGCTGAAGTAGATTGGTGACAGGGAGAAACCTCTGGTCCTCTCCTATTGGCCCGTCCTGCGGAGGGCGATGCTGATTGGTAGGACGGAGCAACCTGGGTCCTAGTTGGCAGAGCTCTCCCCATATGGCAGCTCCGGCCGCGGAGTGATGGTGGCGGCAGCGATGATGGGCCGAGCAGGGGCCATGGCGGTGGCGGCAGAGGTGGCAGGGGCGGGGCAGCTGGCGGTAGAGAAGGCTGTGGTCTTCGGGGGGCTGTAGGTGGAGGCATGGCTCGGGCCAGCAGCGGGAACAGCAGCGAGGAGGCGTGGGGGGCACTTCGGATGCCACAACAGCAGGTATCCCAACAGCTCCAAAAGCCTATCACGACAGCCATTTATTTCTTTCCCCTTTCCTTGTCCCGTCCTTTTGGGGGCTGGGGGAGGAACTCACAGATCCAAAGGTACTGTGAAGTTCCTAAATATGTCCCTTCCACTCTTTGTCTAAACTTTGTAATGTAGATGCAGTTGACTTTGCCTGCAGCTTCATAGACCCCATCCCATGGCTGCGGTGGAAGCTTGCAGTGGCCCTCCAGTGACCAGAGGCATAGTGAGGCCCCAGGGAGGCTCCCTCTGTCTTGTAACAGTTATTTGTGATGTTTTTATGTATGCCTATTGTCACAACAGAGTCCGGCAACATCTTCTCTTGAGGGAGCAATTTGGAGAAGAGCTGGAACCCAGACTTGTGCCCTGGATGCCATCCTTTATCCTCCACAGCAATCCCATCTGGTTGGGATCAGTGCTCTGGGTCTCACATTGCCCTCCTCTACCCTGGGAAGCCTGAGACTTGGTGGTGGGGAGTGGCAGACCATAGGGAATGATGAAAGCATCTTAGTTTTGGAAATTACCTTAAACCCCTTACCCGCTGAGACTTTGAGATAGCTCAGACTGTCTTCTGGCTTCTGCCAAAACACTCCCTTAACAGAAAACACCCTGGGGAGCCAGTCTTTAGTGTGAGAGAAGTCTCCTGTATGGAGAGCTGAAAACTGCCTCTTTATATGTCTACACGTTGCATCTTATTCTCTAGACTGATTCTTGCTATTCCAAGTCCTCTTCCATGTTGACAGCCCTTCAAATATTTGAACACTCCTCTCAGCGTGACTGTTCTCCCTCACCATAGATCTGAGATAAACTTGGTTCACACAGTGGGATTGTGTATGTGCATGCAGAGGGTCTGGGTGGACAGTGCCTTGGGGCTGGAATCTCCCTTGGTTCTAAGTGCCTCCTTGCTCCCAGCTTCGAGAGCTGTGCCCAGGAGTGAACAACCAGCCTTACCTCTGTGAGAGTGGTCACTGCTGCGGGGAGACTGGCTGCTGCACCTACTATTATGAGCTCTGGTGTGAGTCTCCAAGGCGGCTCTTCCCGGGTCCTTTTGCCCACCCTCCCCTGGACCTCAGAATTTCAGCCTTCAAGGACCCTGCTTTGCATGGGAGGTATCTAAGACTCTCCCTCCTCACCCCTGCAGGGTTCTGGCTGCTCTGGACCGTCCTCATCCTCTTTAGCTGCTGTTGCGCCTTCCGCCATCGACGAGCTAAACTCCGGCTGCAGCAACAGCAGCGGCAGCGTGAGATCAACTTGTTGGCCTACCACGGGGCATGCCATGGGGCTGGCCCTGCCCCTACCGGTTCACTGCTTGACCTTCGTGAGTGACTTGAGGCTCTGGGCTCGCTACCAGTGGCCCCTCCCAAGCCAGGACCCTGAATCATCCCCACATTCCCTTTTCAGACATTTCAAAGCACACTTTTCCCTAATAGGAAAAAGACTACTACCCCACCCCTGGTTGCCTTCAGCCAACCATGCCATTCTCTCCTGCAGGCCTCTTCACCGCCTTCAAACCCCCAGCCTATGAGGATGTGGTTCACCGCCCGGGCACACCGCCGCCTCCTTACACTGCAGCCTCAGGCTGCCCCTTGACTGCTTCCAGTGAGTGCACCTGCTGCTCCTCTGCTTCCAGCTGCCCTGTCCACTGCGAGGGAACAAATTTGGAAGGTGTTTCCTCCCACCAGAGTGCCCCCCATCATCAGGAGAGTGAGCCTGGGGCAGGTGTGAGCCCTGCCCCTGCACCCCCCTCTTGCCGCTATCGCCGCCTGACTGGTGACTCGGGTATCGAGCTCTGCCCTTGTCCTGACTCCAGCGAGGGCGAGCCAGTCAAGGAGGCTAGGGCCAGCACCACCCTGCCACATCTGGACGACCACTCCTCTTGTGCGCTGCCTCTGGATCTCGTATCCCAGGCCTCTCTTGTGGGGCTGGCTTCTGGTGAAGGGGACATCCCATAAGCAGTTTTGAGAGGGTGGGTGGGTTACTTGCCCACCAGTCCTGGTCCCAACTTCTCGAGTTCTCCTTGGCCTCCCCCTATCCTCCTAGAAGCTGCCTGAAAGGGCTGGAGTCCTGAGGAGAGGGGCAGTGTTTGGGGGACTGTGCTAGCTCCACCCCCCAAGACATACATAGGAGCCTTTGATCTCATTAAAGAGATGTGAACCAGCTGCTTGTGGATTTGGGTGGACTAGTGCTCAACTCACTGCATTGCACTTGACCTGACTGGATTTGGAGGGGACAGGTAATGGCCACTTTTCCCACCTTCTCTGAAGGACAGCAGGCAGCCTTAAGGCCTGGACTGAGCTAAGACCTCTTGGTGAGGCAGAGCTGGCAAAAGCAATAGAGTTTGATATGGTTTTCCAATTTATTTAGAAAAATAGACTCTGAATTCACTTTCATCCCAGGGCTATGTGGGATGACAGTAAGGAGACGCCTGAGATGAGCTGAAGAGGGTTTGAAGCACTGGTATCTGAAGGCTGGGGACAGAAGCTAGAGACTGTGTCCCTCTAGTGCAGTGGCACAAGGGCCCGGCTCCCTTCCCATCCTAGCCCTTCAGTAGTCTTCAGCCATGACCAGTAGGACAAGGGTGGTCCAGCCGTGGAAAGGGCGGCAGCCCATGCCTCGCCCATCCCGGTCACTGTACTGCTCCCACAGGAAACCCGTGGCCTGGTACTGCCGCCTCACATTGCTCACCACATTGGCACGGAGCTCACTGTGGAGCTTGGCAGCCCGGGCCTGGTGGGGACCCTTTAGATGTCCATAGTGGTGGAGAGCCCCCAAGGCCAGGTAGTTGACATTGAGCCACACAGCACCCCGCCAGTAGGGGGGATCATGCTCTGAATTGCGCTGGCCATAAAAGGGGCTGGAGGCTGCAAGGGAGCGCAAGCCAAAAGGGCTCCAGAGATGGCGGCTGTCACCTAGAACGTCCAGCAGGGGCCCAAGGCGGGATGAGTTGGGGTCCAGCAGCCGCAGCAGCAAAGGAAAAAGACTGACATAGCCCAAGGCATCCACATATTGTAAGTGAGGGTGGGGCCGGCCCACCACTCGCACCAGCCCCTGAGGGGGCCGAGGCTTCAGTTGCACTGCTTTTGTGTGGTTCCCGAAGTCTGCAAAGACTCCTAACTCTGGGGCCCAGTGCAGCTCATCCAGGCTCTCCTCTGCCTCCAGTGAGGCAGCCAAAGGGCCCAGTTCTGCCACTGCCTCAGCCTCTCCCAGCTGCTCTGCCAGCCGCATCAGCACACGGGCACCCAGTGCCACCCAGCACCGCAGGTCCAGGTGCCGCTCAGTGGCTGAAGGGTGTGAAGCCCGGGGATAGTCATCCAGCCCTGAAGGCAGCGTCTTGGGGTTCAATAGGGTTGGCAAGGCTGGGTCCCGGCCCCGCCAGCGATAAGATAGTGGCACTGGCCCTGCCTGGCTCTGATGGAGCCAGGAGAACCAGGCATGCAGGCGGGGAAAGGCCCTGCGGAGGAAGGCAAAGTCGGCAGGGTCACCACTCTCTAGCATGTGGGCTACAGGCAAAAGCAGAGTTGGGGGGTTGGCGTGGGCTGCCCGTTGCACCAGGAATTCTGGGGGCACCCGGGCTCGGGCCTCATCCCCCAGCACCTGCTCCCGCCCAATCCAGCCATCAGCATTGAGCAGCCCCAGCCAGTGGCCTAGGGCCTCCCGAGTGAGGCGGGGATCCCACCGCTGGACCACCAGCTGGTGAAAGCCCTCATCCCAAAGGAAGCCTCGTGGGAAGAATGACCGAGAGGGCACCGCTGTGAAAAGAGGGACAGGTGGAAAGAGGGCTGGGTCCACCTTCTGCTCAGACCCCTCAACCCCCATATCTGGCAACACCAGACCCTGTCCGTAAAAATAGCCAATCCCACCAAGGAGGCCGCTGAGGGCAGCCTGACCCAAAGCCTGCTCCTTAGGGCTCAGGCCCTTCTCCTTCAGCCGGAAGGTCCTCTCAAAGCGCTCTCTAAAGGCTTCAGCATGGCTCTCCAGGGCCTGCGTCAGCCGGCTGCCTGCCAGCTGCTCCACGGCTTGGCTTCCTCCTGCCCGGGCACTGCCTGATTCAAACACCAACTCCATGGAAAAGGGGACTTTCAGTGTCACCTGTTGTATCAAGAATTGCCCTTGTGCCTGTCCTTGCCCATTTGGGCCTCTGTCCTCCCACTTCAGAGATCCTGGCAAGCCAAGGTAGCGTTCAGGTGAGGTCCCTGGGGGCCGATGCTGAAACCAACTATTTAGGCGACTCTTCACCATCTCTGTCAGCAAGGGAAGTCCTGGGTTGGAGGTCCAGAAGACGTTGTAGCTTGAAAGGAAGAAGATAAATAGGAAATATTATTTAGGAGGAAGTGGTGGGGATTATAAAGTGATCAGGAGTCAAGAAGGAAGGGTCTTGGCAATGCAGGGGACATGGAGCCGAGTGAGAAGAGAAAGAACTGGTGGGAAGAGGGTCGAGTTGGGGAGATAGAAATCAGGCTAAATCAGCATACATACCACCCTTACCACCAGCCCACACTCTCTTCCCCGAGTTACCTGCCATACTTGTGGGCAGTATCCCCTGGACTGGTTGGTGCCAGAAGTGTAAAGCGGAAGTCACCAAGTTCACTGGTGTGCCCACTGATGAACTTCAACTGCCCCTTGGCCCCAACCTCTGGCACTAGGACTTCCTTGCCATTTGTCACCACATAGAAGAACAGGGACACCAAAGGGAGAGCAGAGATACCTGAGGCCTGGGTGACCAAGGAGGACAGAAAAACCCAGCATTAGATTGGCAGTCTCTCTTGAGAATCAGCTTTAGTGAAGGCAAGGGACACCAGGCAGAAGCAACATGGTAAACAACATACGTCTGGGAGTGTTGAGGGTCACTGAGGGTAAGCACCCAGTGGGATGAGATAAAGAGACTTGCACAGGGTTCTCTGGGGAATAAGAGAGTACTTTTGTGCCATGTACTATGCTGAGAACTCTACATATTATTTCCTTTAATTCTTACAATCCTGTGAGTTAGGTGCTATTTTTATCTCCATTTTACAGACAAGAAAACCAAAGCTTAGAGATAGTAAATAGAGATGGTCATACAGAAAGGTGTTTAAGGCAGGCAGCCAGATTCAGACCAAGTAGTCAGATTCAGAGCCCTTGCTGTTAACCCCCTCTTCATACTGCATTTGCTGGCAGCAAAGGAAGGGTGGAGGGAGTCTGGGCTGGGGGAAGGGTGTCCTGAGGCCCTGACCTGAGGCTCTACAGTCACTCTCCAGCTCCAGTCCCCTCCGTGCTGACCCCCAGGCCTCTTGACGAACTCAGTGGTGAGCCTTAAGGCCCCATCCTGGATGTGTTGCCGCCCGAAGGAGACACCGTCGTGGAACTCCCAGCCATAGGGACCCACGCCGTCCCCCTGCTCACACGTGTGCCTGAGCTTAGGGGTCCCTGGGGTGGCGCCTTGCTGTGCCCACATCAATCCTGGGGGTAGAATGGCCACGTAAGTCAGAGAGCAGGGAACCTGTCCCTCTGGATCTCCGAGAACTCCAGGGTCATCCCTCTTCATAACTCTCCTGATCCACTCCTCCCCACCCTTGCTCTGGCGTGAAGCTGGGGCGCCCAGATTAAGAGTCCGCCTGCCCGCCCGCCCCGGGGCCCGGTTACCAGTGAGCAGGGGCTGCTGGCTGCGGGTCTTCATGCCGAAGTACACGTGAGGGCGGTAGGTGCCCCAGAAGAGGTCCGGGGCCACAGCGGGGCTGGAAGAGTCGGGAGGCAGCGCCGGGGGCGCGGAGTGCAGCGTGACGGCCCGCCGTGCACGGTGCCACGCTAGCAGCCAGCTTCCCGACAGGCCCAGGGCCAGAGACAGGACCACGACGGCCAGAGCCGCTCCCCCGGCCGCGCCCCGGGCCCCGCCGCCCCGGCCGTCCCGTCGCGCAGGGCCGCCCCGAGCCGCCCTCTCAGCTGTCCGCGCTCCGTCTGCCGGTGCTCCGCGGCGCCGCCGCTCGCCCCGAGCCATCCTGGCCCAGAGGTCGGTGTCGCGGGGGCTCGGAGAGGCGGCAACGGAGCCCGAGTCCTGCCTCGCCTCCCCGGCTCGCGCGCAGCGCTCGGGCGACCACCGATCCGTCAGCCGCACCTGCCGGCACGCGCCTCCCGCTCCTCCTCCTCCTCCCGCCGGAAGTCCCGCCCCACACCGCCACGTCAGGTCAAGTCCCAGAGCCCGGAACCGCCGTCGCCGGCGTGGCATAGGGCTCATCACCCGGTCAGCCTCCTGGGCCGTGTCCACTGGGTCAGTATTTATTCGGCGTCCTTACGGAATTCACAAACTAGAAGAAAAAAACAATCCCACATTGGGCTGTTTTTTGTTGTTGTTGTTTCTCAATAACGACTATATATTAAGAACCTGAGACGTTATTCCGAGTATTGTACATTTAACCGCCCCCCACCTCACCCCAATCAGGTGGCTGAAAGCTGTGGCCTAGAAAGTTCAAGCAACTTGGCCCTGGCTACAGAGCTGGGAAATGTCTAGCTTGGAACCCAGGTGTACCTGAATCAGACTGGATCATTTTGCCCACACCCATGCCTTCTTTCCTAGTGAAGTAGAGAGTGCAGGAGTGGACCCAAGAGGAAGCTTGAGATCTGTTCCAACATATATATATATATATTTGTGTGTCTGTGTGTGTGTGTGAAGAAGATCAGCCCTGAGCCAACATCTGCCAATCCTCCTCTTTTTCTTTTTTTGCCGAGGAAGACTGGCCCTGGGCCAACATCCATGCCCATCCTCCTCCACCATTATATGGGACACCGCCACAGCATGGCTTGACAAGTGGTGTGTCAGTGCGCACCCGGGATCCAAACAGGGGAACCCTGGGCCGCTGCAGCAAAGCGGGCACTTAACCGCTTGCGACACCAGGCTGGCCGCCCAACATGTTGTCTTTAAGCAACCCTGTGACTTTAGACAAGTCATATCTACACTCAGTCTAGGATTCCTTATCTAGATGAACCCTAAAAGGACCATAATGGTGGTACATGCACTTAAGAAAATGCTTTTTTTTTCTTTTCTACAACTCAGGAAGCAAAGGAGCTTAGGGTAAGGATCACTTATGTCCATGTCAGGGAAAGCTGTAGGAAGGAGGTAGCATCTGCACCTCAGATTGACCTAGAAGAGTCAATATTATATTTGATGGTGCTTCAGAAATGCAGCTTAGATTCATAGTTACTTATTTCTCATTAATAGCTCAGCATAAAAGTTATTTTCATAAAGTACAAATCCCTATCATCCTTTAAAAAACTCTACTCCACAACTTTATGTTGGTTTAGCTACTAACACACCTCCCATCCAAGTGCATTATATAAAACTAATACTTGATGCTGCATGCCCACTTCCTATTTCACTATAATCTGATTTCTAGCCCCACTCTCCACTGGTAGACTTTTTGCTCATTCAACAATCATCTGCTGACCAAACCCAATGGTCAGTCTTTTCTTTATCTTTCTTGCTACTATTGCACCTGGTCCATATCTCTCTTGTAGCACTAATTACATACCTGAGTTTCATTATTCATCTTTGTAATCCAGTACTAAATCACAGGCACAAGGTAGATGCTAAATATTTGTAAATTCAACAAATGTTTATTGCACATTCTGTATCAGGCACTATGCAAGGTGCTGGGAACACAGAGAAAACAGCCCCAACCTCAAGTTCACGATCTAGAAGCAAAGTGCCAGCACTCAATCCATGTTTACTGCAATGTTTGAACCATCCCCATTTTTACAGATGAGAAGAGTGGGTAAGTCCGGCCAAGGATAATAGCCAGTTAGCCACAGAGATGGGGGACTCAAATCTAGGTTGTCAGTATCCTTTTGACTATGGCATAGGCCTCTTAGATAATAACACCTATTACACTTCCAGTAATGTTCTAGGTACTTTACAGATATCAATTCATTTAATCCTCTCAACACTCCTGTGAGGCAGATACTATTATTCCCATTTTACAAATGAGGAAACAGTTACTGAGAGACTAAGTAATCTGTCCAAAGATACACAGGTACTTAAGGGCAAAGCTGGGATTTCAACCTCAGGCATTCTGACTCTTTACTCCACTATACTGCCTCCCGGTAGTTTTCTTTTTTTAAAGGGGGAGGGGAAAAAAACCAGCCCTTTGAAGATAGCACCATTTTAAGCAGAGAAGCAGTACAGTAATGTGTTGGAGAGTCATGGAAAATGTATTTGGCAAAGTACACAGCAGCCAGTGTCCAGAGATCCTTGATTGCCTAGCTGAACATTTGAAGTTCTTCTCTAAACCAGTGGCTATAAACCATTTTTTCCTACAACCATGCTAAGAAATAATTCTATATTGCAACCAAGTATATGCAGAGACACACACACACACTCTTTACATAATATCTATATCTATCTACCTATCTATATATTCATGATTATATGTTTAAAACTTAAGTTTCTTAAAAGACTTCTACCCATTCTGTGTGCCATGCACTCTGATACTTTTTATTCTATTTTGTTTTTTAAAGGTTGATTTAACCCCCTAAATTGATTTCATGATCCACACTAATGAGTGGTAACCTAGTATGAAAAACACTTTAGGCACTGTTCTCTGAAACAAGTAGTAGTAGTAGTAAGACATAAAACCAGTGATGTGCTTTGGAAAGATAAAATAGAGCAGCAGCAAAAATTAGAAAAAAGGATACTGGGTGGAAGAATGCAACAATGACACAGGAGAGTGACTGGGAATGGACAGACCATTTCAGGAGCTTTTGTTTAAGACAGAGTATTCTGAACTTACTGACTAGATATGCAGGGAAAGGGAGAGGGCAGAACCAGAGATAATGCTGCAGTTTCCAGCCCAGGGGGCTGAGCAGATGAAATGCCTTTAAAAGGAATGGGGAAGTCCTGGGGAGAGGCTAGTATATGTATATGTGAGATTATCAGTTCTTTTTCGGACAAAGAATGTTGGTGGGATTTGGAGGATATTGGTAGTAAGTAACCTGACTATAGCACAGAAGTTGAGATTAAAGCCAAACAGAAATGCAGGGTTTAACCGGAGAGGGTAGCTCAAGTTATGATAGAAGATGAGATGCCCCAAAAATAAAGAGAGAAGAAAAAGAAGGATGAGAGTAGTACATCCTTATGGTTAAGAAAAAAAGGACCCAAGAGGAAGAGAAGTTCCACAAGGGAGTGAATCGAGAGCGGCAGAGGCTACTGAGATGAAAAGATGAGGACTGAGAAAACAGTACTGGACTTGGCTAGTAAGTGTAAGAGGTTCCTTGAGTGAATGGTGGGAGAAGCCAAATTCAAAAGGGGTTGAGTGATGATAAGAAAGTGAAATAAATTCAAGTTTATCCCGACCCCTTCCCTATCTTGTCTTGTCTCAGACACTTTGGTTGGACTTGTAGTCACAAGGCTCTTTTTTTTTGGCGCTCCGTGGCTCTCCAGGTAGTGATTTGAGTGATTAAATCAAGCTCTTCTTAGATAAGTGTCCTAGTAGTCCCAGGCTAAAATCTGCCTGTTGGTCTCTCCCGCGCTGTCAGCGCCCGGTCCCAGCGCCTGGCTTGTCCCCGCTACCCGCCGCGCCTCTGGCCTGGATGTGGGAGGCAAAGGCAGTGAGCATTTCCCGGGCGGTGAGGTGAGCGGCGCGCATCACCAGGCGATGCCCGTCTCCTGGGGAGAAAATAAACGCGTCAGCCCCAGGGGGGCCGGCGGGGCTGGGGCTGAGGGCGCGCGGGCCGCCGGCCGCCCCTCCCGCCCGACTCCCCACCCGAGCCCACCGAACAGCACTTCCACGCAGGGCTCGGAGCCGTCGTGCCGCACGTCCGCAATCACCGAGCAGTTGAGGTTGGTGGAGCGCACCTTCTCACTGCTCACCGCCTGGAGGAAGGTCCTGCGGCGAGAAGACGGCATGAGCGCCAGGCCGAGGGGGCTAGACCCCGTGGGAGGAAGGCGCCCCTCTTCCCGTCCCCACGCCCTCTCCCTCGTACCTCGTCGCCTCTACGTTCTTCTCGAAGGGGCAGAACTGAACGCGAACCTGCTTGACAGACCGGAGCCCGAGCCGAGCCAAGGCCGCCGCCATAGTGACTTCCGCCCCGGAAGGACTCACGCGGGCGGAAGTGTCGTCTGGGTGAGAGGCTGTGAATAGCCGCGCCGCCGCAGCAGCAGAGGCCTCTGCTGTCAGCCGCCCGCCGCCCGCCGCCCCCAGCTCCCCAGCCCGACAGGAGGACGAAGGTCAGGAAGCAGAGAGGTGGAGGTGGTTTCGGCACAGGATATGGAGGGTCCCAGAGTAAGCGGTCAATAAATACTACCTATCTTGTACCACGGTGAAGACAATAAATTCATAGTGCAAAAGCCGTTTGCACTTGGCTCTGATAATACGTCCGTCTTCTGCAGCCTTTCCCCTTGCGGACCCTGCTGTGCCAGATCTGGGTTAACGCCGTCTTAAGTGCTGGTCCCTTCCAAGGAGAGGGCACTACCACAGCAGGGATTATACACCTACCAGGGGGTAAACCCCACTAAGGTAACTGAAGATTAAACATGGTGGACTCTGAATAACCAAAGCTTACTCGTGAAGGTCCTACAGCCCAATATTCTTAAATGACTGAAAATAGTAATGGGGAGAGGAGTACAGGGTAATATAGCTCTTGGGACTGATCAAGGTGTAGAAATGCCTATTCCATCTCTGTGGTTCCTGAGGAATTAATTTTGTGTTTAGCCTGGCTCCTGGGACTTAAGAGGAAGTGGCATCTAGTCTCTCTGCTTTCTATTGCTTTTTCTCTTTCCCATTCCTCTGGGATCCAACCCTATAGCCCTTCTCCCAGCGGCTGGCCCTCCTTCCAGCATCTAGCCCTGAGATGCCTTCACTGGTGGGGAACCAGGCCTGAGCCTCCCAAGGAGGCTGACCTCCAGGTTCCAAGCTGCGGTTTTGCCCCTGACTCTGACTTCCAGGCACTGGAGTGATCTTGGACCCTTAGCTTGTAAGTCCAGGCTCTATGGAGCTTGTGGTTCTCAGGTGTGCTTTCTTCCAAGCTCCCAATTGTAAGCTTTTTAAATATGCAGTTCTCAATGCCTGGGCTTTTCTAGCCAGAGATGGGGAGCTCTGACTTTCTGGCATCTGATCAGGCTCCTTAGGATTCAGAACTGGTCCCCAGGCAGGAAAGAAAAGGCAAGTGCCAACGAGGGTGCTGGTGCTGCCTCAGGGCAAGCCAGGCCTGCTGATTTCCCACCAGGTAAGCCTCAGGGCTGGGTCCCCCTCCCCACAGTGTGCTTAGCAGCTGAGCTGTCTGGGTTGGGGGTGCTCCAGGCTGAAGAGGGGGCTCCAAGCTCTCCAGGCTGTTGAGGCTGCTGCTGGGCAATTCCATGGTCTGGACCTCATTACATGCACCTGTTAAGGCAGGAGTGGAAGGCAGGTGTCTGGAGGGGTGGGGGGGGGATGCTGAAGCCAGATCAGTGATGAGGATGGGAGATGGGGCACATAAAGTAGTGAGCCAGGGGCAAAAGAGCCTAGAGTTGGGAAGGGAGAGGGACTCACAGCAACAGGGAGGCCACCTGTGGCCTCGAGTCTTGGGCAGGGGCTGCTGCAAGAGGCATAGCAGGGCCCCGTCCAGCTGCTGGAAGATGCTGAGCATGAGCAGAGTCTGGCGAAGTTCCGGGGCCAGGCCCCACTGCTCCTCCTCCAGCAACTCCCGGACCACTCCAAAGTCTTGTCTGAGCTGCAGCGTCCCCTGCAGGCTGAAGGCCAAGGTACAATGTGGCCGCCCGACCCTCCTGCCTCTACAGACTGCTCTGCCCCACCTATCCCCACCCTTTCTCCCCCTGCCACTGCGTCGTTTTCTCCCCACCTGAACCGGATCCCATGGGTGAGGATGTGGTCAAGCCAGGCACCCAGGATGGCAGTCAGCACCTGGCCGAGGGCAGGGGCCTGGGCTTGGGGTGGCAATCCTTGCAATCCTTGCAACACAGGCTCCAGTACAGTACGGACCACCAACCAAGCATACTCACTAGGAGTGCTGGGTAGTTCTGGAGTGAGAGAAGAGAAAGGACAGAATATGAGGCTATGGAGATCCACTGAGTCCCTAATGGGGTGTCTGGGGGCAGAGCATAGGATTTTGGGGTGGGGGCACACAGAAGATGAGGACAAGGATGGAGACAGGAGTGGAGCCAGGATTTGGAGGGGTTGGGATACTATTATGCCCTGGGAACTGTGGAAGGGGATATCGGATGAGGAGTTACCAGGACGGAGACGATGCCGCCAGTACCGACCCCGTGGCATGTAGAGTTCAAAGCCCTGTGTGGCTTGTTTATGACATTCTTGAAAAAAGAGACTTAGTGACTCTTGAGGCAGGAGCTGTGGGGATAGGAAGAAAGTAAAAGGGGGCTTATCTGTTAGGGACTTGTTGAGTTATGATGCTCTTCTAAATCTGAGGTGTTTAACCTGGCATCTATAAAGCCCCAGAATGGAATTGTACGCATAATTATGTGGACTTGGGCATTTTCTGAGGAGAGATGCCATGGCTTTTATTGGGTTTTCCAAAAGGTCTGGACCCAGAAAAGATTATGGACAACTGCCCTAGGATTATCCTGCTCTCCTCAGCTTGGTTCAGAGGATGGAAATCCTCCAGATTACTTTTATTCTATAGGAATGTTAATAGGAAAAAAAGAGGGAGACACCCTCACCACCACCAATGTTCAAAAGCAAATGCTAGAGAGAGGTGTCTGCATGATCTGTGGACAGACAGAGGCTGAAGAAAGAAAGGGGAATTGTATGATCTTCTGTCTGTCATCTGTGAAAGGAAGGCAGGAACTGTGTGTAGACTAGGAGCAACGACTATAACTTTCTGAGATCCAGGAACCTTTGGAACATCTCTACACTGAATATTCTTTACAGCTTACTTCCATTTCTCCACAACAATGTAACCCATAAAGCAAGAAAAGGCCCATGTGCCAGTTTGGTTTCTTTGGTTTGATAGGTTTTATTTTTGCAGGGGGAAAAGACAGCAAAAAAGAAGGGTCTCTACTCCACAGCCCATCTTGGAGGAGAAGAACTCCAAGAAATGGGGTATGTGGTGGCAGGTCTGTAACAAAGAGGTGACTGGATGCCTGTCAGCCTGAAGAGAGAAAGGGGCGTGGGGGGGCCAGACATGGAGGGTAGAGCCTCTGTGGCTCCTGATACATATCCTGATAACAGCTTATCTAAATCCAAACTCTTTCTCTCTTCTCCCAAAAACCAGAACCCCCTTCTTCCTTATTTATGTTAAGGAAGTTACCCTTTTGTCAACTGACATTTGTTAGGGACTTCTACATTCAACACCCTGAAGAAATACAAGTTCACACTATGAGATTGTCCTTCTCTATGAGGCGTCACAGTCCAGGTGGGGAGAAAACTCACAACGTCTGATTCTTCTGTTTCATCCCAGTGCTGTATGTGGTGGAATGCCCAGAGCGGATGCCTGGCAGTGCAATCACCAGGCAGAGGAGCAAGGCACGTAGGGTGCTTTGCACACTGTTTGGTTCACATGGTGAGCGCACTGTCCGTGTCCCTTTTGCTCTGTTCTCACTACAACTACCAAGAGCTGGACCCTTCTCATACTATGTGCCCCCACCTCCCTTCTATCCTGATCACTATAGCTGGACCAGACTCTATCACTGTCTTCACTGTTCCCCTCCTGCTCTTACAGTGGCTCCCCATCACTCTTGAGATAAAGCCCCAAATCTGTGGGCTGGTGTTCAGTGCCCTTCACAATTTGATGCCAATTTGCTTACTCCTTCACAATCCCCCACCCCGGATGCACGTGCACACGCACACACACACACAGAGCTTCTGCTTTGGTCAGGCCATCTCCTCACTACTCCCCCAAGGAACTATGAACTGCCCACCTCCAGTAACCCCTGCCGCTCCTCTAAGGCTGTCCAGCCACCAGCTTGAGCCCTAGGCCCTGTATGGAGCTTCTGTCACCACATGCCCACCATGGCCTCCTCAGGGCTCCCATGACCACCACTGTCCACGCTACTCATGAGGAGCCTGTTTCGGGCATGTTGAGTTGACAGAGGCAGCAGTAAATTGAGGTGGAAATGCCCAACAGGCAGGTGCAGACGGTGGATTAAGGCTAAACTGTGGGAGTCCACAGCACCAAGGCACTGTGGGTAAGCAGGAATGCAGAGAGAAACGGAGCAGAGGGACAAGGACTGAACTCTACAGCCATGCCCCTATTCAGGGCAAAGAGGAGAAGTTTGGGCAGGAAGAGAAAACAAAAGACAGACATTTTTCCATAGTAGGTATAGATAATATGCAAAATGGGGAAAAATTAAAATAGAAGTGTAATAGTTTTATTCATAATTTAGAAGAAAATAAGAAAACAGAAGAAACAGCCAAGAATGGATGAAGGTTACCACTGTGGAACAGGAATCAGAGTGGGGGCAATTAAAGTACTATTTCTTCATTAGAAGCCTTCTAAAATAATATTCTATTTCACTTTTAAACTATGGACATGTATTACTTTAATAAAAATACAAATTACATCTTTAGAAGAAAAGAGGAGAAACATTGTATCAAAAACTAGTAAGTGAAAGGAAAGATTCAATCATTTATCTTGCTTTTTTCCTACAAAATATACCTCATAGTAATCAAATAATGAGGGCAAGTTTGGCTCCATAGGAGTAATCTAACTAATCAATGAGGAAGGAATGATAGAATTGGAATACCACTACTTTGCACCCTCTAATGAAATAATGGATCTAGGCAGTGATCCCCAGTGGCGGTTAATATCACAGAATGAGAGCCTGACATGGGGGGTGGGGTATAGATGAAACAAAATTGACCATGACTCGATAATTGATAAGGCCTCGGTGGTAGGAATATGGGAGTCCATTATACTCTTCTGTCTACTTTTGTATATGTTTGAAATTTTCCATAATAAAAAGCTAAATAAAGAACAAAAAATGAACAGAGCAATAAAAGATGAATTTAGCAGAGACTCCAAGGAGAATCTAAGTCACTGAGATGTTCTACCTCCACCACCACCACCCCACCAACCCCAAACTGGGCACAGAACCAGGTCTTAAACTGCCATTGTCTGGGCCTCTGCTCTCCTCACCTGAATCTGTGCAGTCAGCTTCCGGATCTCCAGGCCCAGCTGCTGCTCCACTTCCAGGGCCAAGCTTTCCTCTGAGGCCAGGCGAGACAGAGCTCCTGCCTCATGCAATAGAGGCTTTGGCAGAAACAAGGAGTGAGGTCTGAGCCCAGCCCAGGCTGCTCCCCTCCCCACTCCCTAGCTACTCACAGGTAAGTCCTTCTGGATCAGGGGCAGGAAGGAACCTGGGGCCCACGCTGCCAGATGCTGCTGAGCTCTCCCCCAAAACCAGAGCAAGGTGGTCTGCAGGGTACAGAGCCCCAGGGCAAGGGGTGCAGGACCTGGGCAGGGGGAGGGACAAGTATCTGAGGGATCAGGGAGCACCTTTGGGAGGAGGCAGGCTTCAAAACAGAGTGAAGGAATAAAGTGGATATCCTCAACTGTTCTCCTGTTCCCCCATCCCCAGCCCCTTGTCTCACCTGGAGGCTGATAGAGGAGCAGCCTTGACTTGGGTTCTCGAAGGGCATCCAAGAGAGGAGGGAAGAGCTGTTGCAAAAGTTCAGTGGTATGAGAGGATGAGGGAAGGCTGCTCTGATCTCCACCAGCAGATCCCAAGGCCTGGCAGAAGCCTGAGGATGAGAGGGTATGGTTTGATGGGGAAGGGGCAACCTGGGGCTTATGTCACTCCCTATGCCCCTTCCTTCTCACCTTGGTCCCAGCTCCAGATAAGAGACTGATGCAATAGGTTGTGACACAAAGAAGCCAGCTCCTTCTCACACTCCTGAGGCAGGGATGCTAGAGGGAGAAATGACGCTAGAGCCTCAGAACTAGGCCTCTCTTTTCCACAATCACTGCCCACTCGATGGGGGAAGAGGGGAGGCTTCTGCCAAGACTCAAGACCGGGGTGGAAGGCAAGACTTTGCCTTGTAAGCTCAGAAGCTACAGCCTGAACCCCAAATGGGAAGGGGGGTGTTCATTCTAAAGGACCTGCTTATAGTCAGGTTGGCAGGTGAGTGAGGTGACTAGGGAGAAGGAAGAGGCCCCAGTCTTCCCAAACACCCACCCAAGCCCATCACTCACCCTGACCCAGTGCCTGACTCAGCTGTTCTGCCGCTCCCCTGGGGTCCCTCCAGGGTCCTAGACTTAGGTCCAGACTCTGAGCACAGGCTGCCCACAGCAGGGTCCAGTACTGGCTCCACAGGGCTCCAGCCCCTCCAAGCCCCAGTCCGCTGCTGGCTGAACCCGCCACGCCTCCCATCAGGCCCAGGAGCCCTGGCAGCAGCTCTCGCTCCTCATGGCACCGCCTGCGGAGCTGGTCTCGCAAGCCCGATCCCCTGAGCGCCTCATCCAGCCGACCTGCTACCTGGCAACCCCGCTCCCCCGTCAGGAGGCGGAGCACACGGGCCGGGGGGAAAGGGCGCGCTGCCCCTGGAAGGTGGCTCACGGCTTTTCCCTGCAGCTGGTGGTAGGCGGGAAGCGCCAGCAGCAGGTCGGCGAGCTGGGACGACAAGCCCGGGCCGGCGGGCGCCCGGCCCAGAGCGCGAAGCTGCATCTCGATGGCAGCATCTAGGCTCTGGGCGGCTAGTCCGGCAGGGCGCGCCACGAGTAGCGGCTCAGGAGTCTCCCGAAGGCCGGTTCGCAGAACGGCCCCTCGGGAAGGGTGCGGCAGCAGGTCGCGGCACAGCTGAGGCAAGGGACCGGGGCCGGGGGATGGCGCGCCGGGACTCGGGATCCTCAGGAGGCGCACGGCGGCCTGTAGGTGGCGGGCGTAGTCCCGGGCCTGGAGGAGCTGCTCCCGCTCGCGGTGCAGCCGCAGCAACACGGCCCGGAGACGCTGCAGCACGGCAGGAATCGGGCCTCCAGCGGCGGGCTCCCGCCTCCAGTCCGCAGCGCCAGCCTCATGGTTCTCTCCCGCCTCCGCCGGCGCCGCCCACCACGGCTGCCCTCCTGGGGCTCCGCCGGGCCGCGGGTCCAGGCAGGGGATGCTCCCGGCAACCGGCAACCCCGGGCAGCCCTGAACGTCCCGGCCGAGAGCGCCCGCCAGCCTTCTCTCCCGCGGCTCTTCCCCAGCGCCCTCGGGGCGCGCCCACAACGGCGGCACCGTAGCAAGCGGAGGCAGAAGGCCACCAGAACGAGACGCCTGAGCCATGGGCGGCGTGTCCCGAGCGAACCTAACGATTCCCACTTCCCCGCACCGCCCAACGCCCGCGGTAGCCGGGACTCCGCCCCATCCCAAGAGCCGTCATTTCTTGCCCCGGAGCCGCCGGGACCGTCATGGACTCTCTCGCGCTCCGTCGTCCGAGGCTTCTGCCCCTAACAAAGATGGCTGCCCACTCTGCCTTACCCCGCCCTTCAGCAGGTGTCAAATACGAGACTCTTTCACTTTCGAGTCACTGTTGACGGGAGATGGCGCCGATTCCGAAGACTGTGGGGCGGATCAAGCTAGGTGAGCTGGTGTGACAAGACGAGACGGGCTCCAGGAGGGCAGGGCCAGCCTCACTTGGGTCTGTCTGTGTTCAGTAGGATTTTGTGCTTCACGCGGTGGGCGGAGGGCTCCGGCCCATCCATTCTCAGCCCCCGTTACGCGCCGTCGCCTTCCTTTCCTCTAGATTGCCCTCTGCGGCCTGGCTGCCCGCTGGGGGTCGCTGCTGTCCCCAAACTCTGCAAGGAATTCGGTCCTGAGGACTACGGCGAAGAGGTAAAAGGAACTTCTAGCTCGCCCTCTATCTGTTTGTCTCGGTCTGGCGTCTTTTCAACCAGTTGTGCTGAGCCCCTCCGCGGTCGGGCGCCGCGCGGCGCTCCAGGGGCTCTGGAGAGGCGTAGCCTTGGGCCCTGCCCTCGAGGAGCGTACGGCCAGTGGGGGGGATGCCGGGGACCGGGTCGATGCTGCCATGACAAGTGCTTGAAGTGGGCAGGGTTGGCAGACGAGGGTCTCTGAGTTGAGGATTGGGGAGTGGGTAGGAGTTTCTTGGGGAAAGATATTATGAACAGAGGGAACAGTGTGAGCAAAGACACTAAGGCAAGGAAAAGTTGAGAACTTCATTGAAATGAGACCTGAGTGGAGGGTTTGTTGGAACCTTAAGAGATGAGGTTGGGAAAGAAGGCAGCAAGTGGCTTGAAAGGCCGTGTCTAGCACAGGGGTTTGGATGTCCTCAAGTAGGTGATAGGGTTATTGAAGGAGAGACAGGACCAGATTTGGGAGCACTGAGAAGCTATACTTCCATTTGCTTCCTGGTTATCTTTAAAATCTCGTACTCAAGTCTAGAATTTCATTCATCATCTTTGCAAATTGATTGCTTTTCTTCTAATCTTAGTTTTGGTTAATAACACAAATTTCTATCCAGTTGCTTAATCCATAAATCTGAGAATAATTCTATATAATCCTCCCTTTCCTTTACCCATTTAGTAAGTCACTAAAATCTACTTCTGAATTGTCTCTTGAATCAAACCCATCATTTCCATTCCTGCTCCCTTTGCCGTGGCCTTAGTTCAAGAACTCATTCTCTCTGGCCTGAACAGTTGTAATGGCCTTCTAACTAAACATTCCATGCCTAGACTCATGTCCTTTCCCAGTACTATTTCATTTGAACCTTTCACTCCCCTGATCAGGTCCACTCCCATCACTGACAGGACAAGGTCCAAACTCACTGAGTCACACAGGATTCTTCAGATACAGCTCCTGGCTGCATCTCTGATAGACTAGCCTCCTCAGCAATCTCTCTGCCTTTGCTCATTCAGCACACACTCACTGAGGAGCAACTATGTACCAGGCACTGTTTTAGGCACTGGGAAGACAGTAAACCAAACCGACAAAAATCTGTGTATTCAGTGAATTAGAAGTAGTTAGTAGGGGACAGCCAGTCTATAAGTAAACAATATAGTATGTCAAATATGAGAAGTACAAAGAAAAATAAAGCAAGAAGGAGGATAGGGAGCACTGAGTGGAGTTTAGAGGTTTCTCGTTTTAAAAGAAGTGGTCAGAGAAGGCCTCTCTGAGAAGGTCTAAGCAGAGATCTGAAAGGGACGAACGAGTGAGCCATTCACTGGGGAAAGAGCATTCCAGGCAGAGGAAATAAGTACAAAAGCCTTGAGAGGGGAGCACACTTCAAAGGAGACCCCTGTAGCGAGAGGAGGGTGACAAGAGGGTAGGAGATGATTTATGAAGGTATTGGGGGGCCAGATCATGTGTGGCCATGTAGTGAATTAAGAGAATAGCATAGACTGTGTTTGGAGGAGAGGTGGAAGGTCAAGGAAGTCTTTTTTTTTTTAAGATGGCTAGACTGGGCTGAGGAGGGAGAGAGCAGTTGAAGATATAGGAAAGACACTATATATTTGAGTGGCACATTCTAGGGAGGCTGCCTAAAATGGGCCCAGAGCATGTGTTATTTATGCGTAAGTTCCAGATAGGAAGTTGAAATAAACCCACGAGGAAATTGAATTTGAGAATAAGACTTGAGGAAAGTGCCCAGCAGTGTAACTGAAGATGCCATTGAGTCAGGACTATTTCCTGAGGGGAGCTCTGGATCTAACATTGTTTAGAAAGTTGACTATCCTTCAGTGATCTGAAGCCCTACCTACGCATGATTTTAGCACTCTGACACTTCATGTGGCTTCTAAGTTTCTCAGTCAATGGGCCACTACCTAGTCAGGGGTCTGCCCTGTTTAGGCCTGATTAGGCCACATAGGGACATGATGATCCCTGTCCTCTGAAGCTTACACTAACTGAGGAAACAATTCTTATCAGAATCACAGAATGCACAGGCCCAGCCTGGAAGAGTCTTGCACCGTTTTGTGAATGAGGAAGCTGAGGTCCAGAGAGGTTAAATGACTTGTCCAAAATCAAACAGCCAGGGAGTGGCAGAGCCAGAACTAAGACGTAAGCAGCTCTACCCCAGCAAAGTGTTCTCTCCAGTTCCAAGCTACCTCACCAGTTAAGAGAGCAATAAAAAGCAATGAATAATAAGGTTCTAAATTGTATAACACAGACTATATGAGTGCAGCTTGGTTGAGTGAGGGCAGGGACAACTGGAGATGAAAGGCTCTGGGATTTATACAATGTTACTGTAAAAAACAAAAAATTAAAAAAAAAAAAAAGAAAGGCTCTGGGAAAGCTTTGAGTGGAGATGGAATGTGAACTGGACCTTGAAGAAGAGACAAGATGCGGTGAGAAAGAAGCTCAGAGCCAGGAGGGATTTGAGGACAGCTGGGAGAAGACCCCAAGGCTGGAAGGAGCCTGGTGGCAGAGGGAGGACGGCAGCTAAGCAGGGGAGGATTGCAAGGGAAGATTGTAAAGGTCAGCCAGGGTGCTTTTTGGAAAGCTCCAAATCTCAGGCTGAGGAGCTAGTTTCAGTCCTGCCTGTGGCCCTGGCAGTGGGGGATTACTGGAAGTTTTTGAGTAGGGGAGTAATTGCTGAGAGCTTGGTTTTGGGAAGAAACAGACAAAGCGTAGGGCAGAAGCCAGCCAGGTCCTGCCACCTTCACTTAGGCATGAGGTAATTCCAGGGTGGGTTATGTGGGTCTGTTCATATTCAAGGCTATGACAGGGGGGAAGAGCAGGTAAGAAGGCTCCATTTCAGGGGCCTCAGTGTGGCTGACCTAGTGGCAGGTCCAGGGGAGGAGATCCTGGGTGGTGGAGAAGGCTGGGCTGAGCGCCACACTCAACCCTTGGGAAGGCAGGAGAATAGTGAAGGGAGGTGATACACCATGAAGGCTGGAAGCAGCGTGTTTTGAGGTGCTGAGCGGGGAGAGGTTGGCCAGTGAGGGTCTTCGGGCTGGGTGGCTGGTTTGTGGTTGCCATGGTGGAGGGGTCAACCCAGCCAAGGCTCTTGCTGTCTCCCAAAGCTCCCCCCAACACCAGCCTCCCCTCTCCTCCCCCTCCCAGGACATAGAGGATTTTCTTCGACGGCTTGTGGAGAGTGATCCCCAGGGCCTGCACCAGATCCGTGTGGATGGGAGCAGCGGGCGGCTGCAGCTGTGGCACCATGGTGGGGAGTGCAGGGGCTGGGCCCAGGGATCGAGGCTGGTACCCTGGGGAGGGCTGGCCCTCAGATGCTGCTTTTTCTCATGTTCTTCTTTCTTTCCCTTCTCTTTCTTCCTCCTGACAGATTACCTCCTGAACCGTTTCCATGACGAGGGGAAAACGACTGGACAGAGTGATGACAGGGGCAAGGGGGCTGAGGGAGTGGGCACTTACTGTGGTCTCCAAAAGTCCTTCCTCTACCCTCCCCAAGGGTCTAAGCCCTGCCCTCAAAGCCCCTCTGCCTCGGCATCCTTCCCCAGTGGTTCAGACAGCCTATTCCAGGTGGCCATGCCCCAGAAGCTCCTGCTGACTGAAGAGGTGAGACTGTCACAAGGGGCTTCACCTTCACCTAGGGTTCTTCCAACCCCATATGCCCATATCTCTGTTCTCCCCTGATCTGGACCTTTCAAGATCCTTCCATACTGCTTGCCTCCCTTTCACCTTCTCTCTCATTCCCTCTCTCTTTTCCTGTCACCTGCCCTTCCTCCTCCAGGAAGCCAACCGCCTGGCTGAGGAGCTGGTGGCTGAGGAGGAGCGCATGAAACAGAAAGCAGAGAAGAAACGACTCAAGAAGAAGGTAGCTGGAGGGTGAAGGAGTGGGAGCCCAGAGGGATTTGGGGGAGGGAAAGAGGGAAGCTTTGTGAGAACAGGAGAGAACTCAAAGGGGCCTGTAGTGGATCCTCTTGCCGGTGGGGCCCAAGGACTCAGGGCCTGGAGGGTCTCCTGGAGGCCTCATGGTGCAGTAGTTCTGGAGTCACTCTATACTGCCTGGGTTGGAATCTGCCTCCTTCTTACTTTGAGACCTCTGTGTGGTGACTCTCTTGTCTGCTTTTTCACCTGTAAAATGAGGATAATAACAAAACCTACCTCATAGAGTTGCAAGAATAAAATCAGATAGTATATGTAAAACTCTTAGTCCAGTACGTGACATATAGTATATAATGTACACATGAAGAATTGGTTTCAAGATACAAATTGTGTGTGTGTATGTATTTAAGTATAGTGCTCCAAATATGTCCTCCTCCTCATTATTATTGCAGCGTCAAAAGGATCGAAAGCGACAGGAGCGCTTGGAGCAGGCTGGCGGGGAGACCAAGGTGAGTGTCTACAGGCAGGTCCTAAGAGCACCAAGTGCCAGGAAGGTGGGG